CCTGTGGTGGGTAGCAGGGAGGTGGGGGGAGTGCCAGAGGGTAGACAGGAGGAGTCCGCCTCCCTCTCTCTCTCTCTCTCTCTCTCTCTCTCTCTCTCTCACACACACACACACACACACACACACACACACACACACACAGGACAGAGCTATGCTGCTGCACTGCTCGGGGTGGGGAGGGATCTGCAAAATGCCAGGTCAGCCCGGAAGTGCCAGGGGGTGGGACAGAGCAGGAGCGGTGGGCGAGGAAGCCCTGGGACACACCGGCTGGGACACACCGGCTGGGACACACGGGCCGCCGCGCTCACACTCAGCCAAGGGCCTGTGTGCCGTGTGACATGGCGCAGCAGCCCTGGGTGTGGACTGCGGGGAGGTGCTGACCCTCCCCCACAGCCACCAGTGACAGCCACCAGCGCTGTCCCTGCACCTGGGCCTGGCTCTGCCGTGTGCTGCTGTGTGACCCTTGGCAGTCACTCCACCTCTCTGGGCCTCAGTTTTCTCACCGATTCAAAATGAGGAGGTCGGCCCTGGCCGGTTTGGCTCAGTGGATAGAGTGTCGGCCTGCGGACTGAAGGGTCCCCGTTCGATTCCGGTCAAGGGCATGCACCTCAGTTGCAGGCTCACTCCCCGGCCTTGGTCAGGGCATGGGCGAAGGCAACCAATCGATGTGTCTCTCACATCGATGTTTCTCTCTCTCTCTTCCTTCCATTCTCTCTAAAAAATAAATGGAAAAATATCCTCACAAAAGAAAAAAATATATATATATCCTCAGGTGAGGATTTTTAAAAAGTATTAAAAAAATAAATAAAAATCAATGGATAAATATCCTCAGGTGAGGATTGAGGATTAACAAAAACAAACAAAAAACGAGGAGGTTGGGCCCTGGCCAGTGTGACTCGGTTGGTCCGTACACCGAGGGGCGGAGGGCACTCATGGCCAGGGGACGCGGAGCCGGGAGGCGCCCTGCAGCTCTGACATTGTCGCTCTGCTCCGAGGGCTCGGCTCCTCGCTGTGGCACAACTCCTTCATCAGTTTCAGCTTTCTTGTCTGTTAAGTGACCATAAACTCCGTAAGGGCAAGAACCGTGGTGTCTTTTTTATGGCCACGTGCCCAATCCCAGCTTAGCCAGTGCGCAGTAAGCTCGGAGCATCATCCGTGGGTTATCGTGAGGGTCCGAGGAGATGGTGGCTGCCACTCTGGCGTTTTCATCTGCTTCACCCGCTGAGCTGACAAACACAGTGCCCGGGGCTGGTGACTGCTTGGTCCTCCCTGTGCTCTCAGCAGAGTGTTGCGCATGTGTGCACCCCCCCCGCCCCCCCCTGCCCCCCACTACTCCAGCCTCTTCCCAGGGTGAGGAGGATGGAAGGGGTACACTCAGGGGCAAGCTGCACCCCCGCCCGTCTCCACGCCTCCATTCGGGGTGACGGCATTGGTTAACCGGGTGAACTCTGGTTGAAGCATCATTCCAACCACCAGGTGGTCCCTGACTTTGCCGGACATGTTCCCCTCCATCGTCCAAGCTGCCCCTCCAGCTGTCATCCCAGCTGACCCTCCGGCCGCCCCACCACAGGCAGGCTGGGCGGGGCCAGCTGTGGCCAGGCAGGCAGCCTGCTCTGGGTCAAGGGCTAACTAGCAGGCCGGATCCTGCACAAACCCGCACTGGGTCAGAAGGCATCGCCAGGGGCTGCTGAGGGCAGAGCCTGGGCTGGGGGAGGGGCGGGCCCTTGTCTGCATGGGGGGCGCTGCCCAGAGAACCACGAATATTTAGGAACTGGAGAACCTGCTGACCTACAAGCGGAAGGTGATAGAGCACACGCTGCAGGTGGAGCAGGCCGCCCAGGAGCCCTCGCGCGCGCTCAGCCCGGAGGAGATGCTGCAGAGGTGGGTGCCATGGCGAGGCGGGTTGGGGGAGACGGTGGGAGGACATGGGAGGAGCCAGTCACGGGCCGGAGGAAGGAGCTTCGGTGGCAGGTGGGCCTCAGGCTCCCTGGCACCATTGCAACTGCGTCTGCCTCACTCTCCCCATGCAGCGACGCCGCCTGCTCTCCCCTGGCACACTCTCTCCTTCAGCACCGGTGCTCCCTCTGGGCTCCTCCCCAGGCCTGTCCCGGGCCCTGGCTCACTGCCCTCCTCTGGGCCTCAGCCAGGTGGCACTTCCACTGAACCCCCTGCGCTGTGGGTAACTGCAGGTCGGGGGTGAGCACGCTGGCTGTCACACCTGGGCCTCCAGCACCTGTCCGTGCCTGGAGGGCAGGGCTCCGTGGAAACACCCCGCCCCCACGGATGTGACAGCCCCTCCACCCGCCTGCGCCCTGGCGGGGTGGCCTCCCTTTCCCTGCCCTCTCCTGCCCATCGGCCCCTCCTGCCCCGCGGCACCCAGCACCCTCCGTCTCCCCAGGTTCCTGAAGAATAACAGCCACGTGGGCGAGGAGTGCGGGGAGCTGCTGCTGCAGCGGGGAGCCACCCAGGTGCCCGCAGGTAAGCGCTCACCGCCCGGCCGCTCATCGGCACGGTTCTTGGTGAGGAGCCATAATAACCAAGCTTGTCTGGGGCCAGGCGTGAGACTATGTGCTTTGCAAGTCGCATCTCATTTAATCCTCCACTGCCCTCTGCTCAGCCCGTTTGGAGCCGGAGAAACAGGCTCGGCAAGGCCAAGTGACTTGTGCCGTCAGACGGTGCTGCACACCCCGGAGGCTGCTCGCTCGCTGTGCGGGTCCTTGCGGTGGGTGCCCGTGTCCGAGGCTGGGCTGTGAGGGTGTCCTAAGGGGCCCAGTGGCTTTGACGGGAGAAGTGGAGCTGATGGAGCGCCGGGCCCGCGTTGTCTGCTTCGCTTCCCGTTACATTCATTCAGGAAACTGTTGGGGACCACAGGAGACTCGGCTGGAAAGCTGTAAGGAGGACAGTCTGAGAAAGGGGGAGTGTGCGGAAGGCCGCCTGCCCTGTTTATCGGCATTCCGACTTAGGGGAGCGCCCCTAATTATCCCTTGACCTTTCCAAACGAGTCTGTGCTCGTGCAGACCCCGGGTGTTTACTGGAATCCTTACGCTTAATCCCCGGATGCCCTTGCCTAGAGGACAGTGTTAACACCTGTGTCCTCCCAAGATTACTTACCCCACTGATTGTGTCTAAAAGATAAACTTTATCTCAAGCTGCTGCTAAAATAAAAGGCTAGTGAGGCAGGCAATCGAGGCTGCCTGGCCGCTATCAGCCAGGTGGTCCCTTAGCCCTCTCTGGACAGCGAAGAGAGAGCTCTGTGCCCGCCCCCAGCCCGGCTGAATGTGACTCCAGTTTATAAAGTACCAAGGAGGCAGGGTCAGAACCCAAAGCCTGTGGGCACTGGGCAAGTTGCAGAGTTAACCAGCTGCTGGGAGTGAGCGGTAGGGAGTGGTGGGGGCTGTGGAACTGGCCCAGCCTGTCCTTCTTATGGTAGGAACTCGGGCCTAGTCTGGTCAGAATTTCCAGTTGCTCAAGAGAAGCCAGAGGCCTGCTCTCTCGTATTGTTTTCCAGAAATTGCAGAAGCCAGAGGTCAAAGGGACTGGACAGGCCCCGGCACTGTTTTTCCTCGGCCGCCAGTCTGACCTGTGGTGGGGGATTGTCAGTTATCATTGGAGCCTCTGCCTGCCCCTCCCTGCAGATCCTCATGGACAGAGGGCAGAGGGCCTGGGCCAGGCTCCCCACGTGCCCACACAGATGCGCGCCCAGGGGGCCCCTGGAGCAGAAGTGGGCTAATCGGGAGGCACGGAAGCCGATTAGGCCAGGCCAGGGTCACGTGCAGAGATGAGCACAGACGCTGAACCCGATGACCAGGGGGTGGGAGAGGAGGAGGCGGGGTGGCAGTTGCCTGGATCAGTGTGTGGGGACCAGCCCCTCTGCAGTGGTCGGGCCCTTTGGGCCCTGGGTTGGCCTAAAAGAAGACCAGGCAGGTTCCCAGACGCCATGGGCACGGGGCGGTGACATTGTGGGAGCTGCCCCCTGCACCCCTCCCAGAGACCCTGACAGCCCCCATCCGTCCTGGAGCAGGGCAGGGGACTGGGACACCTCCATCACTGGACCTGACCCTTCTGAACTCTGCGTCCGCTTCCTAGGGCTGCCGTTACAAATCCCACAGGCCGGGGCTTACCTCTCCGTTCTGGAGGCCAGAAACCCAAGGTCAGGTGCTGGCAGGGCTGTGACACTCTGCGATGCCTCTGTCCGAGCTTCCTGGTGGCCCTTGGCTGTGTGCACGCTCCCTTGGGGGAGGCCCGAGCTAGCAGGATGCAGAACACGGTGCGGGAGGCGCAGGAGGTGGGCGGAGCTTGCAGTGTGACATTCAGGTAGAAGGGGCTGGGTGGGCCTCCTGGAGGAGGTGACTTTTAGCAGAGCAAAGTGGTGCAGGTGAGGGCGTGGTCACGGAATCCAGGACGAGGTGGCCTGGGAGAAGAAAGGCGCCGGCCAAGGCCTGTGGGAGAGCCAGGGGGCCGTGAGCAGAGTGGAGAGGGGCGGGTCCCCGGCTCTGATGGGCTTAGGCCTCTGGGAACAGCTGGAGGGACTGGCCTGAGGGGAGAACCCAGCTCTGGTTCCCTAATGACTGCAGTGCCCAGCCCCTGCCACCTGCCACCGCGGGGACCCGAGCCCTCCCCACAGGCTGCGTGGCCCCGGGTTGTGGGCAGGATTGGTTTCACTTGTGTAGTTTAAACCCCAACATTTGGCCTGGAGGGGAGTTTGAACAGGTTGTTCATATATAAAACAGAAAGGTTTTATGCAAAAATGGAATTCCCAGTTTCTGTTGAAAAATGGGAAGGCCTGGCAACATTCTGTTTCCCACGAGCAGCAGCTGCTGGCACGGCCCGCCGCCAGGACTGGCACTGTGGCTGGAGTCTGTGACCTTGGCCCCACAGCGGGAGAGGGAGGGAGCGGTGGAAAGGCTTCCTGAGGTTTATTCTCTTACCTTTGAACTTGGGCCTCCTTAGTAGTCAGAAAGCCTCCACCGGGGCCTGCTGGCTGGGGTGGCAACGCTCCTCGGCCCCCTGGTCCTCCCTGCTCCCAGCAGCCACGCTGCCTCCTGTCCCCACCCAGGGCTGCAGCAGGACCCGCAGGGCCCAGGGCCCCTTCGCTTGCAGATGCCCACACTAGGCTGTCACCTGTACTCTGACCTCTGACCAACTGGCTGTAACTGGTGTTCCCACACCCTCGAATGGCTCACAGAGCTCAGGAACACGTTTGCACCTTTGCTCACCCCTGGGTCACCGTACAGGACACTGCGCAGGCCCAGCCGCATGGCAGCGCGCGGGGCAGGGGTGGGGCTCGCAGGCTGCCTCCTCCCCGCACCGCTGCTCCCTGGCCTGCCTCTCAGGTCAGGTCCTGTGCTCCAAGGATTGTATGGAGGCTTCATCACACAGGCCTGGCTGATGAACTCGATCCCAGCCCTCCCCTCTCCCCGGAGCACGGCTTCATCTTCCAGGGGACCCCTCCCATCCTGTCGCTCAGGAAATTCCAAGGGGTCGGGGCTGCGTCAGGACCTGGGCTCAGAGACCAAGTATCAGGACAAAAGATGCCCCTAGCACTTTGTCATTGAGTTAACAGTTTTGTTTGCTTTTCCAAACCAAAGGAAGTTCTACAACGCGGTGGGTATAGATGGACGGATGTATTGATGTTGATTTTTTTTTTTTAATATATTTTATTGATTTTTCACAGAGAGGAAGGGAGAGAGACAGAGAGAGTTAGAAACATCGATGAGAGAGAAACATCGATCAGCCGCCTCCTGCACATCCCCCACCGGGGATGTGCCCGCAACCCAGGCACATGCCCTTGACCGGAATCGAACCCGGGACCTCTCAGTCCGCAGGCCGACGCTCTATCCACTGAGCCAAACCGGTTTCGGCTGATGTTGATTTTTTTGTTTTTTTTTAAATTAATTTTAGAGAGAGGGGAAGGGAGACAAACATTGATTTGTTCCACTTATTCATTGGTTGACCCTTGTTTGTGCCCTGACCGGGGATCGAACCCGCAGCCTTGGCGAAACCGGACAACCTCTACCCAGCTTAGCTACCGGGCCCTCCCGGCAGCCATTTCTTGAGGGAACATTGCCAGGTGTGGTTTAGCGTGGCACCCGCCCTCCCTGGTGAGGCCGCGCTGTCCACCATCGGGATTGCAGCCGAGAACCCAGGCTCGGCCTGGAGTCGGGAGCACTCACCCACCTTCGACCCTCCACCCTTTCTTTTTGCTCAATTTCTCTGACGAGTGGCGATGTGATTCCTCACTGTTGGGTACCTTATGGTGTTTGAAGACCCGCAGGGTCATTTAAGGTTCTCAGAGACTCTGAGGCCAGGAGGGGCCATTGTTCCTACGTCCATCCTTCTGCGCTGCCCTCTGGGGTGGCCGGGGAGGCCCCGGGGTGGCCACATGGCTCGTGGCCAAGTGGTGGCGGACGAGCTCTGCCCCAGCTGAACCCCCAAGGGGATGTCGGGGACGGTCCCTGCCAGTCCAGGCTGAAGGAGCGAGCCCTGGCGAGAAGGGCCAGGCTCCCAGGGCAGCGGAGGCGAGGCCTCGCCCTGACCCACCCGTCTGTGCTTCCCTCCCAGGCCTGGTGCTGAACAGAGACCGGAGGATCGCCTGGGTGAGTGCCGCCGCCCTCCCCCCTCCACGTGCCTGTCGGCCTCTTGTGGAGAAATGTACATAGCAGAGTATCTGTCCTTTCCATCCATTTGTAAGTACACAGTTCAGTGGCATAAAACATATCCATGATGCCATGCAACCACCACCACCCCAACATTTCACATCTCCCCAGTATAAACTCCTTACCCATAACCCCGTACTCTCCCCACCCCAGCACCTGGCGACCGCGTTCTGTTCTCTGAATTTGCCAGCTCTAGGGACCCATGTAAGTGGAGTCATGCCGTGTGTGGCCTTGTGCGTCCGGCTTATTTCACTCAGAGAATGTCCTCCAGGTCCACCCGTGTTGTATCTTGTGTCAGAATGCATTCCTTTAGGCCGGAGAGCAGCCACTGCACGGCTACTCCGTTCATCCGGGAGGGACACGGGAACCTGTCTGTGGGAAGCACCCAAGGTTATCTTGGCCTGAAGAGTAGGAAATGGCTGGGAGGGGTCCAGGAAGAGCAGGCAGTGAGTTTGCGGGCTGTGGCCAGCGTGTGTTCATAGGAATCGTGTCTTCATGGCCATGAACACAATAGCTTAGTGGCTCCTTCCGGAGCCTTCGTGCATTAACCCACCGAGTACACCCTGATCCCGTCAGCTGCCCGCTGAGCTCGGACACAGGAGACCCGGTGCCCTCAGAGGGCTCAGACTAGAGCGCCCAGCGCGACGGAAGTATGTGAGCCTTAAGTTCACCTCCCCAGGAGCCATATTAAAAGAGTAAAGAGAAACAGGTGAAGTCACGTTCAATACTTTTAACTCAGGGATCCAAGATGCTGTCACTTCACATGTAATCAATATAGAACATTAAGATCGTTGACTTTTTTCTTATCAAGTCTTCAAAGTCCAGTGTGCGGTTTACACGGCAGCGCATCCCAGTGTGGCCCAGCTCCCCTTCCCGCACCACAGTCCCCGGTGGCTGGGGGTGACTGTGGGGCAGCACAGGCCTAGCCATCGTAATGGTCAGACGGTGGTCAGGGCTGTCGGAGGCCAGCAGGGACTGTGGGCATCATTCTGCATTGTCTCATGGCAACTGTCCGAGCAGGCAGGTGGGCTGCGCTGGCAGAGCCCAGGGCCAGGCTGGCAGGGCAGCCTGTGGACCAGGAAAGGGAGTGGGAAGGGCCACACCTGAGACCTGAAATCTAGGCCCAGACGTAGCCCGGACCCCTCTGCTTTCAGTCGCTCGGCCACGCCTGGCTGTGAGTCTGGGAAACACCGCCTGGATGGGCAGCCGCGAGCCCAGAAAGATTTAGGGGGAAGGGCTTCCGGCCTGTGGCAGTGAGAGGCCCATTGGGAGGGGGTGTGGTTGGGCCCCGGGCTCCGTCCTGGGGTAGGTGGGTGAGGTGCCCCACCAGGCTCCCCAGGGCCAACAGACAGGTCTCACCCACAGCAGTGCCTGGTGCCTGGCCAGTGTGGGTCGGTTGGAGCGTCGTCCCATGCACTGAGGGGTCACTAGTTAGATTCCTGGTCAGGGCACATACCCAGGTCACAGAATTGATGCCTGGTTGGGGTGCGTATGGGAGGCAACCCATTGATGTTTCTCTCACACACTGATGTTTCTCTCTCAAATAAAATATATTTTTTAAAAATATATTTTTATTGATTTCAGAGAAGGGAGAGGGAGAGAGAGACAGAAACATCAATGATGAGAATCACTGATCGGCTGCCTCCTGCATACCCTACACTGGGGATCAAGCCAGCAACCTGGGCTTGTGCCCTTGACCAGAATCAAACCAGGGACCCTTGTCCCCAGGCCGACGCTCTGCCCACTGAGCCAAACCGGCTAGCTAGGGCAATAAATATATTTTTTAAAAATGCCCGCCAGTGTGGCTCAATGGTTGAGCCCGGCCAGGAATCGAACCAGAAGGTCAGTCTGATTCCCCATCAGGGCGCATGCCTGGGTTGCTGGCTCAGACAGTCCCCAGTCGGGGGCGCGAGGGAGGCAGCTGATCAACGATCCTTTCATCATTGATGTTTCTCTCTCTCCCTTCCTCTCTGAAATCAATAAAAATATATTTTAAAAAAGAAAACAGATCCTCGGGTGAGGATGAGAAATGATTCACTGTGGTTCTTGCCTCTGCAGCCAGAGCACACCTTCGATTTCATCAGCAAGGAGCTGTGTGCACACGCCGTCAAGAAGCTGCAGGCCCACATGCTGCTCATCAAGTAAGTCTGAGCCCAGCAGCCGCCGTGAGCGCCAGGGATCTGCAGGCCTCCCAGGCGTGAGGCCCCAGCCCTCCCACTGCCACTCGCTTGGGAAGCCCTCGGGGGCTGGTGCGTGGAAGGCAGGCAAAGCGATTGCTGGGCTTGGGCAGCACACCTTTCAACAGGTGACTGGAGGGCACCCCACCCTGTAGCCACCTGGGCCCCTCCCTTTCTCCCCCAGGCCAGCACCTCGGGGTCTCACAGCAGTGAACACCCTTTACTGTGGCCTAGATGCCACCCCCCTGCACTGCAGCCCTGCGCCGTCCATGCCCAAGGCAGGATCTGTGACCTCCAGGGACACTTCTGTCTCTGGTGCCGAACACAGGGTCTAGAGAGTATGCACTCGAGACACGCACATCCAAACTGCTGCACACCCGCCAGGGTGGCCACTCTCACCTGAGCGCAGTGTGGTTGGCGGATGGCCGGAGCCCCAGTCCTCAGAGCGATGGGACTGTCCAGTGGTGCGGCCACGGTGGCCAACAGTCTGCGTCTCTCAAGCAGCTACCACAGGGCCCCCTGGCTGGGCAGTCCCACTCCCAGGTGCAGGCCCGTCAGGCCCACACTAGTGCACGATGGTCCAGAGCATTCCTCACAACCACCACAAGGTGGGGCAACCCTGATGTCCGTCCACCATGGACTGTTTCCGTCCTAAAAAGGAAGCACTGACCCGTGCTCTGGCACGGACGAACCCTGAAGCATTCGGCTCCATGGAGGAAGCCAGCGCAGAGTCCACCATGGGACTCCCCTCCCACGCAGGCCCAGGGAGGGACTGCACAGAACGTCAGCTAGGCCTGCAGTTGTGTGTGGGAGGACACAGGTTTGGGATTTTTTTTTTTGAGGTGATGAAAATGCTCTAATTGACTAGTGGTGGTTGCACAACTGAATATATTTAAAACCAAGGAATTATACACTTGAAATGGGTGAAATTATCTCAGTAAAGGTATTTAAAAAAAAAAATTCCAGCCAATGTAGTTCAGTGGTTGAGCGTCAACCCATGTACCAATGTTTACCAGTTCAATTCCTGGTCAGAGCACATGCCTAGGGCTAGATCTGCAGTAGCAAGCATGCAAGAGGCAGCTAATTGATGTTTCTCTCTAAAAATCAATAAAAATACTTTTTTTAAAAAGGAAAGAAAAAGTAGACTCAAACCGTTCACTGGCTCTACATTCACTGGCTGTGACCACGGGCAAACTGGGACTCCAAGTGTGGGTGGGTACTGAGTGGCTGAATCTTGAATTAAACGTGAACTCAAAAGGACCCAGCTGTGGACGAGGGGAGGTAGCCTAGGCCAGGGTGCAGGGCACTGCTGGAGGCGGACCCGAGATGAACCCTGGTTTCTTGCTTTCCAGAGCAACCGGAGGATTTTTTGACGTGAGGAGAGAATATGATGCTGACAAGGGGCTCATACTGTTCATGACTGACCAGCTGAAATCTGCCCTAGGAGAGGTAGGTGTGGGCTCAGGGTGGCTGGGGTATGGAGGGGCATCATGCCCTCTGGGCTCCACCATGCTACCTCTCCTTTTTTTAAATATATTTTCATTGATATCAGAGAGGAAGGGAGAGGGATAGAAGCATCAATGATGAGAAACATTCATTGGCTGCCTCCTGCACACCCCCTACTGGGGATCAAGCCCGTAACCCGGGCATGTGCCCTTGACCAGAACCGAACCTGGGTCCCTTTAGTCCACAGGCCGGTGCTCTAACCACTGAGATAAACCGGCTAGGGCACGCCATCTTTCTTGCACTGAGACTCCTGGTCTGGCTCAGCCCCAAGTCTACCAGGTGCCCCCGGAGCTACCAGGCCTCACTCCCGGCTGTGGGCAACGTAAACCGGCACAGAGCAGACTGTTCATTGGCAGACTCTCCCGACTTTATTGTCCTCACACCCGGGGGCCAGGCCCGACTCAGCCAGCGGCCATCCGTTTCCTAGGGTCCCACATGGGAACAGATGGCCAGTCCCCTCACTGGGTGCTGGGTGCTGGCTGCAGGGGGGGTGGGCCCCAAGCAGGAGGGCTGGGACTTGTGCTTGACTGTCCCTGGGAGCACCCGGCCCCGGAAACGGGAAGCCGTGTGGCTGGGTGGCCATCGGCGGTGCCCTCCCGTCCTGTCCGGCGGCTCCCTCCCGGCGGGTCGGACAGAGCAGCAGCACCGCCACTTGCTCCGCCTACTTCCCCCAGCTCACTGCTCAGCATGCCCAGGCCCCCAGGGCTGGCACACTTCCCTCCCAGAGGCCTGTCTCATGAACTTAGAGCCAGGCCTGAATCACCCAGGGACGCCATGAACAACCACAGGGAGGCAGCAGACCCCAGGAAAGCCCCACCAGGGGGGCCCTTGGAGCCACCACTCACCACCTGTCCCCTCCTTCCCCAGCGGTTCCAGTTTGTGGAAGTTCCAGGCAACCACTACGTCCACATGAACCAACCCGATCACGTGGCCGGTATCATTGGCTCCTTCTTACAGAGCAGGAACAGGATCCCAGCCCAGCTGTAGCCCTGGGCCCGGGGCCACTGAGACCTGTGCTCACCACTCACCACCGGACGCCCAGCTCCAGGGGCCCCAGCCAGGCCAGGCACGATGGGGCCAGGCCTCACTGGTCTTGAGCCACATGAGCTGGCAGAGCAGAGGTGTGGGGTGCGATTTCTGTCTCCAACATTTGTGAGTTCACAGGGGAGATCGTGTCTGGATTCGGGGTCTGTGTTGTGGCTGGAAACTGGCAGTGAGCTGGGAGTGCAGAAGACTGGATAGGCCGCCCGGCCTGCAGCCAGCAGCTCTTGTGCCTTTCCTGTGCCCGCCTGGATGAATAAATTATTCTTTTCTCTCTCACTGCCTTCGAGGCTTTCACGGCTGCGGGGGCTTGGCCACTGAGGGTAAGAGCGGACACTTAGCTTTTAGCGGAAGATCCAGACAGACTGGGAGGAGACAGGAGCAGCAGGAACCACTTCCTGGGCCGGTGGCTCCTGAGAGCCAAGTCCTCATGCTGGGCAGGCTCACCAGCTCCAGGCAGGCTCACCAGCTCCGGGCTTGGGGCTGCTGAAGACAAGGGCTGAGGGTGGCACTGTCCTTTACCCGCCGCCTGTGGGCTGATTCTTGGTGCCGTTTGACATGGCAGCTCCCAGGCCTGGGCAGTCTGGGAGCATCCAGGCCTCCGTGTCCTCGCTGGCCATCCCCACCACCCTGTCCGTGCGGCTCAGTAGGGACGGAATTTGCGCTGGGCCCGCATCAGCTCAATCCTCTGCTTGTCCTCCTCGAACTTCTTGCGCAGCTGCGCTAGATCTGGGGCGTGAGGGGGAACAGCCAGGATCAGACAACATGCCCGTGGGAGCCGCGCCCCATTGCCCCCATGAGTCTGCCTGGCCACACACACCCCCTCTCCGCAGCAGCCTCTGCACCACAGCCTGCACCTGAGGCCACACACACACACACATTCCTCCTGCAGTCTGGCCCCAGCACAACTGCGCAGGAGTCTGGCTGTGGGTCCTACATCCCAGGTGCCTCTACAGCCCTAAGTAACCCAGAGGACCCCACAGCGACCCCTAGGGAGCAACAGTGGGACCAGCACACAGGTGCTGCCGGGCTGGAATCCCAAACCCAAAGCCTGTTGGGAAGTCTGGGCCTCAGGACACCCTGGCGCCTGCCTCTGGGGCTCTGTGCTTTGGCCACAGGCCTTGCCCAAGCAGCTGGGGCTCAAGGCTAGGGGGGCTGGCCGACGGGCTGGGGCGCCCTTACGCTCCATCTTGGTCTCCCGGTGCTGCCAGGCGTAGAAGTTGAGCAGCTCCTTGCGGGCGCGCTTCCGCTTCTCCCTCTCCAGCACCCGCAGGCTGGCTGCCTCCGTCCGGGGCAGCACGGGCCGCCGGCCACGGCGCGTCACCTTCACCCAGCCCTCCTCGTCCGGGACGCCTTCCTCCTCCTTGGCCTTCGCTTCCTCCTGCAAGGACATGACCCTGTGATGGCCGGGGACCCGCCCGCAGCCTCGGGAGCCTGCTGGGAAGAACCTGGGCACCCAGGGGCACCTGCTGCCCACTCCGCCCCCAGCAGTGAAGGTGCCTCCTCCAGCCTCGGACCGTTCCTCCTCTACAGACCTAGTGACTAGACGCCACCAGCTCAGGTGACCGGGACTCAGCAGGGAAAGGGGCGTCTAGACTGTGCATGGTGCCCAGGTCAGCTGCCTCCCCCGCCCCCTCAGGAGCCACCCCACACCCGTGGCACCGCCTTCCCCACAGCGACAGTGATGTGCGGCCCCCCGCGAAGCCCTACCTCGGCCATCTTCCTGTCGTACGCCTCCATGAATGTGTCCACTTCCACTCGCAGGGCCTCCGGGTCCAGCACGGAGTCTGTGTAGTCACTGATCCACTCTGAGGGAGGGAGCGAGGGACACAGGCCTCCTCAGGTGACGTGCGGGCCACCCCAGGACCCGCCGGGCCAGCTGGCTTATCCCACACGGGCCACAGGCATGGAGACTGGCCAAGGTTCGGTAAGGAAGGTTCTAGTGGTGGCAAGCTGGGCCCCACCTGTGCCCCCCAGTGCCAGGCTCAGGCCTCCCACACGCTGCTCTCAGGGCAAGCGAACACGGTGATGCTGCCCCCACAAGGACCCCCACCCACTCACCCAGGGCCCGGGAAGGAGGTACCCCCCCCCGCCCCCGCCTCCCGGCAGCACTGACTGTGAACGCCGCTCTTCACGGGGTGACTCTCTGTCGAGACCAGCAAAGGGCCCTTCAGGGCTAAGGCAGCCGACACCCCTTTCGGCTTCTGGAACACCACGTAGGCCACCTGGAAGCCCTGGAGGGAGGGAGATGTCACAGCGCTGGCCCTTCCCGTTCTCCCAGCCACTCACGCCCGGCACCAGGGGTGCCCCTGCCCGCAGCCTGACTTGTCACTGGACCAGTGGAGATGTGCAGGGCTGTCCCTGAACATGAAGATAACCAGGAGGTTGTCCCTAATCCACAGGCAGGATGGCTGTGTGCCAGTTACCCACCTGAGCCCCTGGTTACCCACCTGAGCCCCTGGTTACCCACCTGAGCCCCTGGTTACACACCTGAGCCCCTGGTTACCCGCCTGAGCCCCTAGTTACCCAACT